AGTTAATTTAATTTAATAGTGTAATATTGCCAAATAGATAAACAGGCCAATGAAGCATTGAAAAAAGTCATAAGTAGACCTGGGCATATATAGAGGCTTGATTTATGAGAAAGGGAGGTACATATGACTTATGACAAATGAGAAAAAAATAAATTTGCTTTAAAAAATAGTGTGGAGATAATTGGGTTTCTAAAGAATAATAATAATAAAAGGAAACCTTACTGATACCATGTACAAAAATCATTTCTAGTGAATTGACTATGTAGATGTGAAAGGCAAAACCAAAGATTACAGAAGATAATATAGTAAAATATTTTTATGATTTTGAGGTATGCACAGATTATAAAAAATAGGACCAAAAATGTAATCCATAAATGAAAAGATGAATTTTACTACATAAAAATTAGGAATATATGTTCATTAGGATATATCATAAGAGGGGGTAAAAAAACAAGCCACTGAATGGAAGAAGGTATTTGCAACCTATATAACCTATGTAAGATTTTTAGATCATATAAGAACTCCTACAAAAGTCTAAGAAAAAAAACAGAACACTCTATTAAAAAATGGGGAACATATTGGAAACGAGGGAGGGTGCTATAATATAGGGTTCTGGGATTTTAGGAGCATTCAGTTATTTAACCTGGGTATCAATTTTACAAGTAATCACTTTATAATATTCATTAAGCTAGATGTTTATGTTTTATACACTTAAGAATGTATACTATACAAGTGAATTAAAGACATGGTACCATTATGGCCCTAGGCTAAGATAGCTTAAAACATCGATCTCAGAACAGGGATGGTCTTGCCTAGTGAGGCTGATGTTCATAACACATAAATAATATTTCACTCATGTACACTATTTCTTTGGCTCTATACTCTGTTAAACAGGCATGGCAGAATCTATTGGACTCTTCAGAAGAGAAAACTGAAAACTGAGGCCCTTAGGGGTTAAATAGTGTATCTAAATCCACATTGCTAGCAATTGTAAAAGTGGGTCTAGAGCTACCCCTAGCCAAAATCAAAGTTAAAACAGTGGGACAATCCACACTCATTAGGATGGCTGTTATCTCCAAAATGCAAAATAATGTGTGTTGGTGAGGATATTGAGGAGTTGGAACCCTCATGCATTGCTATCTCAGAATGTGAAATGATATGGCTGCTATGGAAAACAACTTGGTAATTCCATCAAAAAGTTCAATGTAAAATTGCTATATGACCCAGCACTTTCACTCCTGTGTATATACCCAAAAGAACTGAAAACAAGTACTCAAGCAGATGCTTGTACAACAATGTTTATAGCAACATTATTCACAATAGCCAAAAGGTGGAAACAACTCAAGTGTCCACCAACAGATGAATGGATAAACACCATGTGATATATACATACAATGGAATACTATTCAATCTATATAAAAGAATAAAATTGTGACGCATGCTACAACATGGGCAAAACTTGAAAGCATGATAACTAAATAAGCCAGACACAAAAGGACAAATATAGTATGATTTCACTTATATGAGGTATCTAGAAAATATCTAGACAAATTCATAGAGACAGAAAGTAGAATAGAGGTTACCAGGGAATGGGAGGAGGAGGAAATGGGGATTCTGTGTTTAATGGGCAAGGAGTTTCTGCTTGGGATGAAAGCGTTTGGAATTAGATCATGGTGATGGTTACACAACCACTGTGAATGTACTTAACGCACCGATCTGTACACTTAAAAATGAGAAAACCAGCAAGTTTCATGTTATATATCTTTTACCACAATAGAAAAAAAAATTTTTAACATAGCTAAAGTATTATGATGAGCTTCATTTACCTTGTTCCTAGTTTGGACTAGGAAGCTGGATTTATTTTGGGGGTCTCTGGGGTCCTGATCTTACTCTAGGAAAGGAAGATCTTACTCGAGTAAAATCAGGACCCTTTACTCAAGGTATAGCTTGTTTTCAAGGCTCATTCCCTACCAGTCTAGTAATACTCACATTCCAGAGATCCTCCGTGGTCAGCAATAAGTTGGTACATGACAGATCAACCAATTCTACATCAAGTAGGAATTAGACAAATACATGTTTTTTGTTTATGTGATGAATGTGAGTTTGTGCACACCTAGCCTCAGAGATGAGGAGTGAGGGTACATATGTGAGGTATTTCTCCTGTTATCTACAAATTAGCTATTTTTGTACATCAAGAGTAAACTAGAATAGAGGTAAAACTGTACTATAAATGTACTTCCCAGAGATCTTCTTCTTGCTAAAAACAATCAAATTATATGATTTAATTTCATTGCAAAGAACATTTCAAAAATAATCTTTGATGGTCAGCTAGTGTGGAATCTCCCAAAAGATATTAATGGAGATTTTAAGGATATAATCCATTGTGTTTCCCTGTAATGCTTTAAAATATCCCACAGCATTTGCTTTAGGGACACCAAATGTGTCTTTCAATTTGATTTCATATGCTTTTTTTTAGTTCATACTGAATTTTTTTTCTCATAAAAATTTTCATTTTAGCTTTTCCTGCTTCTATTAAAAAGTTTAGGTTTGTGGATGTGTAATCTTTATCTACTTTCTAGGTTATTTTATACTTCATAGTTTTGAAAAAAAATGAGTATAATCATTGTATCCATTGGTTTTAAAATTGAGATTCATACAGAGAAATGACAATATAATATAGTAGCTAGGAGCACTGACTCTGGAGTTGGTGCACATGGATTTGAATCTGAGTTCTACCATTTACTAGCTGTGTAACTGTATGCAAGACATTTGACCCCTGTATGCTTGAGTGCATTCATCTATAAAATGAAATGTACAATAATATCTACTGTATAGAATTGTTCTTCTCATTTACGGAGAAGTAAATGAGTTAGTATTTTTAAAACAATTAGAATAGGGGTGAGCACATAGAAAACACTAAGTATTACATTGGTTAAATAAAATAGTATAGCTAACCCTGGACCTCGTGCTTTTATTTCTTTATTTTTTCATCTGTGAAATGGAGATCTTAAACTGAAATGGATATGTGAATGTTATTGTAATGTCAGTAGTAACTGTTGTTCAGGCATTCCTCAAAAGGAAGTTGGTACAAGTTATTGTTTACTCTGATAATTATCAATATAATCAGAATGCATTTTCAGTAGAAGATAGAATAATTGTCAATACAAAGTAGTGGGTTTTGATCAAACACCTTATTTTCTTTTGCACCTTTGCCTTAGATAGGAAGGGAGCCTTTTAATGACAGAAGGTATCAGATTAATCATCATGATTCCAGTAGCTCTTGACATAATAATTAATCCATATAAATTACCCAAGTGATATTAAGAAAATAATTTATATAATCTGTGATGTGAGAAATCAATTGTTTCATTATTCATCACCCATTGTGCAAATTTGATTTAATTTGGTTTGTTGTGTATTATTTTACTGCTCTATTAACTTAATGATTTGAGCAATTATTTATAGTTTGTGATACTAGGTAATAGATTTAGAGGATATTATTAGCTAATACATGATAAAGTGATGTTTATGAGTATTATGGAGAATTCTTCCATTTTAATCTGAATGCTATATGCAGCTTAATCATAATGAATTCATGTTCTTCTATAAAATTCATATAACACAAATATAAATGTAATTTTCCATTGACATAGAGGTATAGTAGTTATCAACATTATTTAATGCAGAGTAGGTAGCTAATAGTACTCTTGGCCATCAGTTTCTTTGTGAATTTCTGGAAGTGTGTTACTGTTGCTGTTCTAAAGTCAAGTGAAAAAAATAAATGAGTTGATGCTCTACCATTAATTTTTTTCAAAAATTTAAAACTTCCTCCTATTGCTACTTACGGTTTTGGAAATTCCTCATAGATGTCTTTATCCTGACTTTATACCATGCCCTTCTCATCATTACCAAGACTTATACTTTTAATAGTAATGTTTACATGCATTTGCTCATGTGGATTTCCTTGTGGATTTCCATTTTTCTCTAGATATATAGATTGGAGTGGCCTAATGCTAATCAAAGTTTTTCCAGAGAGAAACAAATTATACAGGTGCACACTCATATTTACAATTCCTTATTCTCAAATCTCTGAAAACTAAAAAGAAAGGAAGAGTAACCTCTTTATTGGCAAATCTGACCTGACCTGAATTGACATGGAGTTATTGTTTCATCCCTGTTTATTGTGAGTAGGCATACATTTCAATACTGTAATATACAGAATATATGATTTGATTTCAGGATACTGCCCCAAGGCTCCAGTGGAGATATTATATTATATTATATTATATTATATTATATATTATATTTATTATATTATATTATATTACATATAGTATATACACTATATTGTTCTAAAATCTGGAAAATTCATGTATTCTCAAATACATTTGGCTGCAAGGATTGCATGTAACCTGTAATCATGATTGTTTTTGGTGTTCTGTTACCATAAGAACCATGTGGTCTAGGAATATAAATTTTATAATTATGAATTTTAATCTTTAATTTTTCTCTTAGATTACCTTAGTCTTAATACATTGATGAAGTGTTTTAAAATTAATGGTTCCAACATCCTTGAAACAAACAATTATCGGTAATGTGGCTAGACAAATTCTCATATCACGTATTTTTAAGAAACATTTGACTGGTGGTTTCACATACTATTTATGGAGATTAACAGTAAATTCCAAATTAACATGAGCCATGTAAATAGTTTCCTAGCACATGAGAAAAATGGCTCTTTCTGGGGTGTCTTGGGACACTGAGATCATCATATGTTGCATCTATAGTCAGCTCTTTAGGTAAGGCTTTTTTTTTTTTATGAGCACATTCCCACCTCCCACCTCAGGTTGGGAGAGGACATTTTTTATGCTGAATGCATTATTGTCATAATATTGTTTTACATGTAAGATATGTAAATTATTAACCACAGAACACTTTAGTGAGAGATGTTCATACTAACTTGTTTGTGAAAGCATAATTTTTTTAACTGTCATTTGTAGGTATTTATTACCAGGAAGTACACAATTCTTCATGAGAACACCAACCTACACCTTGAAATACAGTTCACCTGGAATGACTCGCTCCAGTGTTTTGTTTACTTCCCGATATGGCCATTTGTGAAACAGAAAGGAAGATCTCCATGGATTATGCATAATAGCAGTTCATTTTTTCCCTCCAATTTAACATGCAAAGAAAGTGACCATTAAGTGCTGTTTTATGTATATATGACATATATGTGTGAAAATATATACACATGTGCACTCAAATAATACATATATATTTATTATAATATATGAAAGAAGAATTAGAAAACTGGATATAAGATTTAACCTTTCTGGAAATGTAATAAACCATGCTAAAATTGTTTACACGAATATGTGAATGTCTAGAATTTGCTAGGTTTATAATTAATACCTTCCTACTAGAAATGTTATTTTTGCTGCAGAATATATAAAACAGAATTGATCTTGAAGATCCCATTTCAGTGTTAAATTATTTTCTAGATAATACATCTTTTGACTTGAAAAAGCATTAATAGTAAAATATCTTATTAATTCTCTTATACATAGTAATCATTTAAAATGAAAAAGCTAGAAGCCTGGTGTTGCTTGATGATAGGATTAAATATAAAACGGGTTTATCATTATTATAGCACATTGCAATGTACTATAAAAATCCCAACTAATATTCCCAACATTTTTATTTCTTTATTTGGAAATTTAGCTACTTGTGGTGATGTACATTTTCAGTAAGGATCTAGTAGGACCATATAATGATATAAAATGGAAGACAATCCAGTGGCTTAAAAGTAAACAAAACATAAACTAGCTTTCATTTTTTACGTTTCATTGGGAGTCACATAAAGGTACAGAAAATTATGGTAATAACAAAATCTTTCTATCTGATTTTTGTATTCATATCACTCACTTTTATTTGGAAAGTATATCTCCAATGGGTACATATGGTTAAATACAATTTCTTCTGTTCTTCAGAAGTAGAAGAGTTGACATTTCAAACTCATTTTGGAGTTAGGGTAATGTGTCACACTTGTAAGTCTCTCAATGTTGAGACCAACTTACACTGCAAAGTCTAATAAAGAGTTTCACATTGTACCATAGAAAATAATCTAAATTATTGCAAATAGGTTCAGATTACTAAATATTATTAGTCATGGATATACCCTTGAGAATTTTCAAAAATCAAAATAGAGTATGAAGTTTTCTTCATGTCTAAAGTTATTCTGCATGAATTTCTTAGCAGTTTGCTTCCTTTTCTTGCTTACAGTTTTAAAAAACAATAGGTAAGCTTTCAGTTTTCCGTAAAAATATCAACAGCAGTATCATTGACATGGAACTCCTTAGAAATTGTGATATTCATCTTTTAGAAGTTTGTTTAAACTTCTCCCTACAGTCTTATTTTCTCACAGATGCTAATTATTGGCAAAATTTAGGAAAGCTTTACCTTTTGCTATCCTAGAAACTATTTTCAGGAAACCAAGAAACGAGAGTAAATCAAAGCAGGAGAACTCAAGAGTGGCAAACTGTCCTGTTTTAATTTACAAACTGGATAATTAGCAACCTAAGATTGTAAGTTAGATACATTTTGCTCATTTTAAAGCCATATTCTGAGGCTGTGATAGGCTAAAATAGGTTTTTCCTTAAATTATCACCACTTGATTCTTTATGACTACCTAACATCCATATTCCAATAGATACTTCTCCTTGCTAGATGCATCCCAAAGAAGAATTTGTTATTGTCTTTGTGGAAAAAGAGGATGAGGATATCAGGATAAAGGAAATTACAATTTAACTCTGAGTGTTTGTGACTCCACTTTGCAGATTTCTTAGAATCCACAGTGCAAAATTTGGGATATTACAAATTCATTTTAAGAGTGATCAGCAAGTAGGTCTTTTCATGAAGTATTTTTTTAAATCACTTTTCTTTTAAATTCACGCTGTGTCCATGAATGAGACATAATTTCAAGTGTCTGGTATGTGATATCAACCCAGTTTGTTGGTCACTCACGTGCATTAATTTAAATCAAAATGGTTATTTCTTACACTAGAGTGAGTGCTGTGGAACTTCTGTCCTTATTGATAAAAGACTAAAATTTTTATTTAAGACAAAAAAGAATGTTCAACATGGGGATGAACCCTCTCCCCCTAGAAAACACACACACATAGAATTTAAAAACCAAAAATAAGTTAAAATGTGTGAAACTACCCAATGAACAAATTTCATTTCTCTAGGTACTTAGAGCTGGCTTTTTTTGAACACCATAATTTTATTGCTCATATTTGCTTATTTATACTGATCTAGTTTGATGTGAGAAAGTTGTGAATAAAAGCCATGTGCTCATTATTTATATATGCTACCTGGTATGCTGTGGACTATGGTTGCTATAGTGCTTATTCCCTAATGAGAAACTAAGAAGAGAAGATACAGTAGTCAACCATGAGAGTGTCTAGAGACCACAGGTATGTTTTAGAGGCATAAAATATTCCTTAGCTTTTATTATGAATTTTTTATTCATAAGGTTAAAGCATATTAATATAAGTGATAGTACGGGTCTGATTCTCTCTCTTTCTTCCAGGAGAGAAAATAACTTCAGTTGAAAAGACTCCAGAAGTTATTCAATATTACCAGGAGTTTTTAATAGGGAATTTGGTTTACTTGAGTTGATAGTGTATTATTTTCATTCTGTTATGAGAAAACATATATCCCTACTCATTCTGTTAATCCAAGCTCAGAATGCTTTCCAGAACTATATATGATTACAATGATTTCCGGAATTATATAAAAAGCAACCTTTATTTTAAATCATCATCTATGAACCTGGTATGAGACTACAGATTTGTTTTCACATTAATTATCAAGCATTAATTAACTACCATTTGCTTTATGTTATCTATTGAACAATTGTGATTCATTATTTTTATTAGCAACAAATTTTATTTTACTGGCATTTCATTTACCTTGCATGTATGAAAATGATGTTATAACAGGATCAAATATGGAAATAACCTCTGCCAGATATAAAGATTTATATGTATTTTTTCATATGTCTAAATTAGGTCTAAATACACAAAAATTGCCTACTAATTTCTCCTCCCTAAAACTAAAATGAACCAAATTCAGACAAACAAGCAAAAAAAACATTAAATTTTCTTTTCATGTAGTATTTACAAACAACTAGATGATTGATATTGGCTTTGAGACATCAAGGATTTCATTCTAATTCTCTTTTTAATTTGGAAAGCATATGATTATAGAATTTCAAGTTAGGAGTTATCTAACTTGAATTTTCACATTTTAATATAAATTAATCCAAATGCTTTTGTCTTTAGCATGCCAAAGCCAATCTATGTAAAATTCATTTTACATCTAAACATACACACTATTTGATCTTTTCAATGCAACAAAAAGTTAATTGTTACATCAACTCTTATTTCTAGGTTTCTATAAATCACTGATTCATTCTTAAATGTGTATTCTTTAAAAAATAATAGCAAATACCTCGAGAAGAGTGACAGAAAATACCTTCCTTTTTTTCTGTAATGCTAATTTACTTTTCAAGTCTTAGCTTACCTGGTTTTAAGGACTACGCAATAAAAGTGGTAACTTCAGATAGTTGTATTGCTGTGACCTAATGATTTTTTAAAAATTGGCTTTTCTCTTTAAATTAAGAAATTTATGTTGTCAAGTTCTGAATTAGTTATCTAAATATTTTGGGTTAATAGCACTTACAAATAAATTGAAACAAATTGGAAATATATTCACGATGAAAATGTTATTCCTTACACTGCTTTTTCTTTCTTCCTTTTTCCTTGCTTCTCATCTTCTTCTTTGCTTTAAGCTCCCTTTGAAGTTTTGACCTTTGTATGGACAAGGTCAAGAAAGGATATCTCCTGCCTTTTAAATATTGGTTTTCCTTGTATTTTATGGTGGCGTATTTTTGCCTCAGCAACAATAAAACTTAGATAAAATGTGTTTAGATCAAGCTCACTTCGTCTGCTGGGATTTTTAAGAGCCAAGTTTCTATGCCTAAGAGGCACTGATTGTCTAGACCATTTGAACCAAGATACATGGATGCAAATAATAACCTTGCAACCAAAAAGTAGTATATTAAAACCTATTGCACTCTTTGAGATTGCTGCCCTTTTTTGCTGATTTTTTGCCTTGTCATAAATGCGTTGATAGTATATTGAAGGAAAATGATTCAGGTAACACATTTTGTATAAACTGGGCTGTTAATATCTAAAGAAGGGCTACATAAAACTTTTATTTTATCCCTACCTACTAACTTGAAAACTGTTGGTGAAATCATTATTCAATAGTCTAATATTTTTTAAATAAGTAAGAAGGCTTACCTTACAAAAGTAATCAGATAATGCTGATATTTCTCTTTCAAAGGCTAAAAATGTTAGTTCTTGGTCCTGACCTGGTTGGTTCATACAATTAATACTGTACATGCTACAATATCGAATATTAATAGATTTGCTGGAGAATCTGAGTTTCAAGAATAGCTTGAAAGCAATACACTTGCTACCATGAAGCATGACTCAAATTATCCCCATATGCTTTGCTACCTGTGTATGAATGCAAATGTTGTTACAGAAAATATGCTTGAAATGTCAACACAATGTGCAATTAGTGTTGCATTGTCATGCTTCAGCATGTGATATCTGTATGGTGAAGTTATTTCAATTACTATAATAAAAAATGTTTAACATAAGAAAGCTACAACATGTCATCAAATGGTTATTTCTGTTTTATACATACACACACAGTGCTTTTAGTAGTAGAGGAGACTGGTTCTCAATTAAGCTTTCAGGGGATGAAATATATTTTCACAGTAATTTTCTTCTGCTGTATAGACAGTAATAGCACTATGGGGATAACTTTACCTGCTATTAAAGTCAGGTTGAGTAAACAAAATTGGTGTCAATTCTTCTCCTAGTTAGGTGAAAGGCAGACCCTTCTAAAATTTAGAAATGATATTTTTATATGTCTCTAGTATCATTACTTATAACAACAGTATTACTAATCTGAATAGAATTATGTTAGCATGTTAGTTATGAAGTTTATTTTTCTCAAGAATTTATAATTTTGTCATCATTAAAACATCATACTAAGGCTTGGTAAGAAACATGTCTTACTCTCATTGCCATTCATGCCATTGTTCTTTAAGATGATTATATAGAAAGAAATTGAGAATATTTTTCCTTTAAAGAAAGGAAGCACTTCGGTCCAAAATCCTGTCATGTGATATAAACTTTAATGCATGAATGCCTTCATTTTTGGAATTGACAACCATATGGTATAAATATTGACTTTTACGGGTGCCTGGATGGCGCAGTCAGTTAAGCAACTGATTTTGGCTCAGGTCATGATCTTCTGGTTTGTGGGTTCTAGCCCCGCATCGGGCTCCATGCTGACAGCTCAGAGCCTGGAGCTTGCTTGGGATTCTGTCTACTTCTCTCTCTGCCCCTTCCCTGCTCACACTCTGTCTCTCAAAAATAAAATAAATAAATAAATAAACAAACAAAAAACATTAAAAAATTTTTTAAAAATACTGACTTTTAAAAATATATATTTAAAAATATTTAATTATTTTTATGATGTTAAAGTATTCCGTGGGTGCCTAAAAAGTTAATTTTGACTTTTTTTTTCAGTGACAGGTAAGGATGAGACCAATGTGAGTAGTTTGGTAATTTATAAGATATATGTATAAATTCAGTTAAATGACCAGAAATCTTTTAAAATTATAAAATAAATCCTGAAATAATTTCAAGTGTAGAAAACTTCATATAGTGCCTTAAAAGAAAATTAACATTTAGTTTTGCAGAGAGGAAGATAATAGATCTTTAAATTAATTTGGAGAGCATTATCTCCTCATGATTATTCACATATGTATAGAATATGGTGACAACAATGCCTATCACCATGATCATGTAGATTTGTAAAACATTGGGTATAAAATCGGGATATGTTTCTCTACTTTAGGACCCGAGTCCTTAGTATCTTAAGATATGTTGAGAGTCTTCAGCAAGAGATTAGAACGTACATCAGTTTCTAAACTAATTTCACTATGGTACCTTTAATTGAAATTCATTTCCCAGGACTAATCTTCTGTTGACCAAACTTTGGAAAACAAAAAACTAAACCAATTCATTTCTTAATAAAGTAATCAAGGTATTTACTTAATCATTTATCAAATATGCACTGGTGGTACACTTATGAACACTGATAAATCTAGTGCAGGAATTTACTTGAACTGGTCAGTTGAGAATTTGGTCATTTCCAGAGGAATCTTTGAACCAGGGTATCAGCAGGGATGGCTTCACCCTGGAAAGATGGTCACAGATAAATTATGTCAATGGTAAACCTGAGCTGTATTAGACATTTGCAACATAACTGTAATATGTAAAGTGATATAAAATGCTTAAGAATGTAATCAGAATAATGTCCGAGCTTTTAGTAAAAGATATTAATGATTTCTTGGGTCTAACATGATAAAAGTTTGTCTTTAATGAGATTCTCTTGTCACCCATCAGCAGATAAGAGCTTTGTACATAACACACTATCTAGAATCACTTACCATTTGAAAGTATCTTCTTATACAAGGAAAAAAGGCCTGTTGGTTTACAACAAATTTCCCTCAAAGCTGGAATTGATTAAAAGTTTGTTGGATTATTTATGAGAGGCAAGATTTATTGAGCCAAATTATCCCCATGTCTAGGTTTTCCTTAAGCAATATGTTAGACACTTTGGAAGCCTTAAGAATTTTCATCACATTCAGTTCTGTTTGGTCCCAGGTGGAATATTGCCAAATTAATCTCCCTCTTAAAAATGTAATAAATCTATGGCTATTCCATGTATCTACAGAGTTGTATACTGAATGGTACTATAATGATCTAAACTGAACTGTCCTATATAATTATCAAAAATGTTGAAATTTTGACTTAGAAAGTAGTATCTTGACTGTTGTATGGAAATGACGCTCTTTTCATATCTTTACAGCAAGCCAGTCCTCAGTATTTGATATAGTAATAAAAACATACAGTAAGGAAAAGCAAATTCCAAATCTTGTCCTAAGAACAGGTGCAAGTAGACATAAATGTTTTAAGTACTAAATTGACACTATTGTGACAAAAACTTGCAAGGATGATTCAAAACGATATAAATTTAGCCATGCTCTGTTATATTATAGATAGACTGTTGCTAGTATTAGAATAAATAACTTTAAAAAGGTCAACGAACATAATAAAATTCATTTTTAAGCCTGCAGTATTCTGTTAGGAGTAAAAATATATCTACATGTTTATAATATATTTGATTTAGGGGGAAATATATATAACACAGCATATGTGAAAAATCTAGAATCTATAAACCTTAATACAATCTAAGAAAATACCATTTCAGTGTATAACTTCATTTTCATTAAAATGATGAAAATGTGAAGTCAGAAAATCACTTAGTCCTTAGGCTAAAAATAGGTAGATCATCAAAACCTAATATCATTTTAGCTCAAATTGGTATTTATTCAGTAAATGTTCTATATTTTTTTGATTCTTCCCAAACTGAAGCAATAGACTTGTCATAAAAAATTTAGTACAAATAACGAATAAGTAGATTCCTCAGAAATTAGCTTGATTTTATATTTTAGCCTCAGGTTTCTCAGCCAAAGATTACTTATAATTTGCTTTTGACTCTGTTTTTTCTGATCATGTCTCCATTTCTCCATTTCATCTCATCAGTTCCCCATTTCCCATATGAAGCATTGCCACAGTGCCCTCACATTAGGAATGGGCATCAGGGGTGCCTGGGTGGCTCAGTCAGTTAAGTGCTGACTCTGGCTCAGGTCATGATCTCATGATTTGTGAGTCTGAGCGCCACATCGGGCTCTGTGCTGACAGCTCGGAGCCTGGAGCTTGTTTCGGATTCAGTGTCTCCCTCTCTCTTTGCTCCTCCCCCACTCATGCTCTGTGTGTGTGTGTCTCTCTCTCTCTCAAAAATAAATAAACATCAAAAGAAAAAAAAAAGAATGGGAATCATTGCCTACTTTGGTGGTTTTAACTAACACATTGAGTTCTTATCATACGTGTATGGGAAGAGTAAAGGCAGAACCCACTTCTGGATTATTATTTGTAATTTGGATTCATATTTTTTTAGCAATTTGGCTTACAGTCCTAGTCTCCTATTTCTCTGGGCAGCAGGTAAATGGTTACAACTTCTTTGTGAAGTTCTGTGGCTGCTTGGAACCTCTTGAGAAAATATATCCTGGAAAAACCATGAGAAAAGCCCACTTCTAGACCTGAAATATTCTAATATTGATCTTGCTTCTCCGTGCACATGCTAAAAATTTCCACAGCAGTTTGCAGATGTGACCTAGAAGCTTAATTATTACACAGGGGTGACAGATTTCTAAAAGACTCCATAGCACCATAACACCTTGCCAAGTAATCCCAGGGCTTTGGGAAAATGAAAGAAGCACCTTACAAAGACTTGAGTCTCTACTATCTTCCTTAGTTTATTATTTCTCATCTACTGTATTTTTTTACCTTTCCTACATAATAGAAAACACTGGAATAGGAAGAAGATGATGTGAGTTTCAACCCTGGCTTTGCTGTGAACTTCCTGGGTGGGAGAGAGTTCATTTCCTAAAATCATAGCAACTTTGTCTACATGAGAGTCTTGTAACGAGGAAAATAGGAAGCACTAATGTCTGTGACAAAGTACTGTAAATTCCTCATTGTATATTAAAAGAAATGTCTCACTGATGATCTGAAGACTCTACTTTGTGATTCTAAATCAGGAAGGGCTATCATTGGGCTTCAGATTCTCCAAGAATGGGACCAAGGAAACTTGTTACTGGGTGGTAATCTTCTTCATTCACTCAATAAAAACATTTTGTGGACCCAATAATTCACTTTCAAAATCACAAAGTTATTTACACAGCTAAGAATTTTAGACAAAACTAAACCAAAACCCCTAGATTTTGTTGTTCCCAATAAAGTAAGATGCTGAGTAAAAGGGTGTCCTCAAACACCAGATGACCTGGGTTTCAATGACTCTGAGCCTGTTTCTTCATGGTAGAGTAGGGCTTTCTCTGCAATGTTGTGGGGAATTAATTGGAATGTTCTATGTAGAGTTATGGGCTTGGCATAGACCTCCCAGCAAATGTTTGTTGTTATTTTTATTCCCATATGAAACATAATTCTGGTGATATATTTTAGGACTGGGGGCTCCCAAAGCCAATCTGGCATCTGGGGCATGCTTCAGGGTCTCCCATGGCACATTTTCCAGCCTTGCTCTCTGCTTTGTTCTTTCTCTTATAGTCTGCCAGTTTTGAATAAGGGACAATGTACTTGTTCATTTCCCAAAAAATTTCTCTAATCATTGAGATCTCTGAGTAAATACTGAATTGAACAATCTGTAAAGAATTAATCACATTTGTTCTCAGGAAATGGTAGGTATAAACATTATAGAATTACCATGCATATGCCTCTTCTGAAACAAGAATGTATAGAGAAAAATCATAATAAATGAAGGATATTTATTGGGTACTCCTGGTTTTGTTCAACAGGGCCTGATGAATAGTTAGCACCACAAACAACCCTAGGCCTCCTATCTGCCAAACACCACTGAACTTTGCTCTGAAATATAAAGAGCTCACATTCTTGGTGGGGAGATACATAGTCACTACTAGATGATACTAATGAAGACACGTAGTACAATGGAGATATGAGGGGTCCATAGGAGTATGGTATATGGGAAAACTGGGGTCAGTGTCACAAGGGAGCAGTTGAGTTGGGTTGAGTTAGGTTGGTCTTGATACGTGAGCGGGATATCAACATACAGAGGAAAAAAAGAAAAAAAGGATTCCAGACACAGAGGATATCAGAGGTTAGACAGCTTGACTCATTGAGGCAACAGAGAAGCTTAGTGTACCTAAACATGTGTTAGGGTGTTGATGGAAGAAGAAGAGAGGTAGGTTGGAGCCAAATCACAAAAGCCTTAGATGTCACTTTTCAGAGTTTGGATTTTACCCTGTATACAGTGGACTCAATGGACATTTTTTATATGAAGTAACGAGGGTCTGCATGTTATGATGTTGCCTATGTTGGCCTTGTGGAGAGGGAGGAAGACAGGCCGTGGAGACAGGAGAGTAGGGCACTGTGACAGGAGGGCATTTTGGTTAGGACAAGTCCCCAGACTTTGGTGGGTTGGAGGTAATCCATATGTAAGAGAGGAATAATGCTTCAGATTTTTTAATCTATTTTGTGTGAGGAATGAAGGAGAACAATCAAGGAATTGTCTAAACGTGTTTTCATTGTTGTGAAAAAAATGTATTTGTTGTAAAAAATGATTGTGTGTTTAATATGCAGGCTAAAGGTTGTTCCTTTCAAGCCTGCTTACCATGGCTATGGCATGTAATTTCTCTTTGACAAACATGTATTGAGTATCAGCTCTGTGTCAGGGACTATGCTAAATACCAAAGAAATTATTATTAATAAGATAACACCCTCACTTTCCTTGAGCTCAAATTCTAATACAGGAAAAACTTATCTAAACAAATAATTACAATAAAATGTAACTTTTTGTAAGGAATTGTCTAAAATGTTCTACTGCTGCTAGCACAAAACACCTCTATGTAATGTGAGGGCCTAGCTCTGGTTCCCAATTGGAATGGCCCTTACAGCATCAGGGGTAATGAGTAATACAGAAAGCAGAATCAATGTTTATTATTGTAGACTATCAGGGGGCAAAAACAGCTCAAGATAAACTTTGTCTTCAGAAAGGACTCCTGCACTTTCTACAATTTTGTCTTTAATCCAAATGATGAGAGGTATGCACTGTAGTAGCTAAGAGGCAGGATTCAGGAGGTGAACTGCCAGGATTTGAATCTCGGCCCCTTCACTTCCTACTGGTTGCCTCTTTAGGAAGTTCCTTATCACCCTGTTTCTCATTTTCCTTATCTGTAAAATGCAGAGAGTAATGATAGTCGCAACAGTGTGGTTATTAAGATTGATTTCTGCATTTCTGACGACATCAGTGAGGTGAAGTCTTATGTTCATTTTTTATGTAGAGGACCTTCAAAATAACTGTACCAGAAGTCAAGGTTTTATTTTATTAAATAAATACCTTATTGATTTGGTACAGTTTTTAAAAAGTCATCTTTATTTTATGGTTTCACAATAGATCCTGATTATATATTGTATTTAAAACTGATTCTCATATATCTTCAACTTAATGACTTATAACACTGAAAACTGCACTCCCATTGATTGTTCTCTGCAGTATGATAGCTCTTTCTTTCTATGTTACTGACACAATGATCTTCC